CAGGGGTCCGCCTTTGCTTGCCGTTCATAGGTTGATGTTTCGATCAATTTCGAACTTAAGTCGATTAGTTCCAACTTTTTCCTACAAAAACTTTCCTTTCATTGTGGCGTCATGAAAATGTGTGCTTACGATGACATAACTTTCATTCCGTGGAATTTTTTTGTGCATGTGTAACGGCATAGAATCAGATTGCTATCTTCTGCTTTTCTAAGCTTTCTTCTTCTTAAGCCGGTTGTGATGCAACACGTGAGATATAAAGGCTGTGTCAGCGCTGCGGGTAGTTGCTTGTAGAGGAAAGTGAGAATGAAACAAGTCTGATAGACACGAACGAGGAAGGCCAATGCGCTTAGCTGCACATCTAGTCCGCCAGGCGCCTTGTCCCCAATTGTCAACACTTGCTTCGCCAAGCCTCCACCAGTCGGGACGCAAAAACAACCCTATACTCTCATTATGGATGGGCCTTGATTTTTGGAACAGCGAAAGTGGTCATGAGTACAATCTTAATACCTTGGAATTCTTACGAAAGAAGTCTTGTTCAGCTCTAATTCTTTTGTGGCTTTTTTGACAGTAGCCATAAATTTTAGGATATCGCCAACATTCAATAAGCATAAAACTTTTTAGAATTCATTCTGCAGCGGTGTGCGGAATGCGTCTTTTTACATTAACAGCCAGTTGCATAACAGCGATGTCCTTTGGCTGCTTACAGACTGCCGCTGTGATGGCCTTGCGAGAGAAGAGCTCTTTTCCTCATAGTGTCAAGACTCATATAAGAAAGTATATGATAATGTACTTAGAAGCCTTCAATCTGTTCGAAGTCAGGAAAAAAAAGGAATGAGTAATTATGAGTTTGTTCAGAACCACCAGTCAAAAGGACTGTAATTTTGTCCCATCTAGCTTAGCCCATTTTCTGAATTTGTTTCACATTATGCACTCAATGGAACTTGTTGGAACTCTGCAGCCTATATGTAGTCTGCGCTGCTACTGAAATGATCTTGGTTATTGCTTCGTCTGAGCAAAATCTGGACGGGTTATCTCTTCCATCAACGCTTGAACCTTTA